TTGGCATTAATGACACTTTGATGTAGAGAAAAGCCAGTGTTAATGCTGGACTGATTCCTGGCTGTCCTAAGTTAGAAGCCTTCTGGACTAAGGGGCTATATTTACTCCCAGAGGTTTTCAGAATTTGGCCTAAATAATCAGACCATTTAACATGAATTATTTAAACTTAAAACATTTCCTGTCTTTGCATGACAGTCCTTCGCAAACTTGTGTATTTGATATTTTATTCAGCCACATGTCATAGATGAAGTATTTTGAATTGTGCTTTCCATGTAAATACAATAAGAAATAAACAGAATGCATTCAAAAAGGAAATAAAATTGATATCATAAAAGGCTTAAAGCTTTAAAGTTCTGTCACAGGGCAGCTGAACACTTAATCAGATAACTTTGACTTTTCTAGAGGGTTTGGGTTCTTTAATTGAAAAAGCAGTGCCAAGTTCACTTTGATCCTGGATTTCACTCTTCCTTTAGAAATTGTAAGAAATAAATAAACTACAGAAAGATTTAAGCATTGCCATACTAAAACCTTCACCCCCTTCATCCCAACCCCACCCATACCTGACACAGTCTTCTGGAAATGTGTGAACCTGGGGGAAGGTTAGGAAGACGATAAAGGAGATTGTGCTTGGTCAGTAGACTTTGCCGTAAGGCAGAAATGCGGTTATACAGCCTAAATTCTTCCTCTTGGGAAACTGCCCAAGCATCAAGAAGCCCTGCTTTTGACAAGGTACTCTTTTAAGGAAAATGCAGGAGTTGAGTGGAAGAGTAGAAATCCTGGACACTGGTAAGATTTTTGTTCTCTGTACGAAGCCACTACTTTATCCTCATAATCTCACAGTAAAATTATATGCAGTAGCTCATGATATACAAAACACTATTTTCAAATGAAAAAGAGAAGCTTATTGAAGATTTCCATTTCTGGCTGATTGTTTCCTGTATTTTTCTTCTGCTTGGGAACAAGCTTTTGGGAATACTGGATGACTGTGTAAAAATGGATTACTAAATTTTGCAATCTAAATCTATGCTCTGCAGAGTCCTGGAAGAAGGAACCAAGGCCTCAGTCTGAGTGATCCAAAAGCAAATTCAAATAGAGTTTTCCTGAACTAGTGAGACTTTTGCTGTCGTGTTTGGAACAACTAAATACAGAAAATGAGAGCCCAGGGTCAAACTTGGAATTAATCTACCAGCAACAGAGATGGTGGATAATTTGCAAGTTCCTTTATAAAGGGTCACCACTGTACCCATGATTATAAATTAAAACTTCTAAAGAAAACTACGTGCTTAGAAAATTCCCCTTTCTCATGTTATTTCAAAAACTAAAATTGAAAGTGTGTTTTGTAATATTTCATTCCTGTGAACTCACAAGAGCCAGACAGTGTGAAAGTTATTACTATCTAAGTATCAAATTTGAATATTTGATGATATTTCTGCTTTTATTCAGCCTAGATGATGTCAGACTATCACCGCCTTTATTTACATTATGATGCTAAGTACTTGTGCAGTTGTTTGAAATTTTTTACTTAGTATTTGTCCCCATACAGTTTTTCTTCATTGTGAATTTATTTTAATTTTAGTTAATGTCAATTTAACACCATAAATCAGCTGTCTCTCAAGTCATAAAGACAATCCTAGACAACTTCATGTTACCTTGTACAGAGTTATTTTCTTCCTCTTTTAAAGCATGACTGGACTTGTTATCAGGGGGAATAAAAAGATTTGCTGTAACTACTTCTCTAACCTTTGGATAAAAAAGTAAAATTCTTCCAAGGTCGTGTGCCACAAAGCTTTGCACAAAATAAAATCTGGTATTAGGCCAAATGCATTGTAGGAGGTAGTCTGTTTCTGGAAATCATAGAATGGACTATGAAAGCTGAAAAGAAACATTGTTACCTCTATTCACTTTGGGTGAAAATATAGTCAATAGAATTACTTTTTAAGATGTTTTCCTGTTTTATTTTGGATTTGTGTTTTACATGGTATTACTTTGATAAGTTAAAAGCTTTGCTTATGATATATGTGATTTATTTCTAGCGTCTGAAGTCTAAGACACTATTTTTGCCAGGTAGTGTATAAAGAGATCTGTCTCTGGAGGTCTTTTGGCATTACACATCATCCACTTTTTGCAGAAGCTGATCAATTTCATGGCAAACTTCCTGCAGCTGTGACAGTAATGTCACGGTTGGGCATTGCCCTTGGTCTGGAACAGTTCTGTTGCTTTCAATTTAACTTACAGTATGTACCATACTCAGAAAAAGGATGGAGAGAGAATATCTGTTCTTTGATTGACTGGAAAACTGAAAATTACCTGAATAATGACAAGAAATACTGAGAATACCCCAGAGAGCGAGCATCTAATGCTAATGTTGGGTGCTGTAACTCAGAAATATTCAGTGGATAGCCATGAGCATTTCAGTAAAGACTCTTCCTTTCCTCTATGGTGTAATACTTTAAAAAGTCAGTGATGAGATAACATTGGAACAACAGCTGGGAGAAGGATGGCATTAAAAAATGGAAATAATTAACTGGCATATAATTATCACATATAAACAATAGACTTCCAAGCAGACTGACAAAAAAGTAACACAAGTAAGAGCAGATGGTGTACATAAGTAAATGCAGACAGTAGCATTAATGAATGTAATTAAGTCTAAATGTCTGGCATGTTAGAGTGACCTTATCACTGATAAATCTATAGCACGCTGGCATGGGTTTTTTTCCCTGTGTTCTAACAATACTGTAGGGATATCCTGCAGTCAGCCAAGTGGCCCATAAGTAATTCCTTCAGCAGAAAGGTCAGACAAAATTCATTTATGGATTATTCACTCTGAATAGAGTAAACAGATCACTAGAAATTTGTCTCTGAGAGAAGGGGAATAATACCTTATTAAGTTAAATTTTAATATGTAAAATAATATAGGAATATAAAACTGGAGTACTGGTTAGAAACATGAAAAAGAAAGCTACTTCTATTTCTTTGAAAAAAAACTGAAAATGAGCAATTGTAGCTCTTGCATGTTTTCTCAGTTTATGTAATGTTTCAGAATTTGTAACAGTTGGTTTCTATTCCAAGAGTAGTTATTACATCTCTAGTAAAAAGCAACAATTTCTGAATTTGTTCATAGAAGTAAAAAATAGTCTTTGAGGAAAGCTTGTTTAAAAATCATGATTGATAGCACAAAATGAGATCTGAATTATGTTGCCAGACATTTTGCCAAACTTTATGCGGATAAAGGATTTAATATGTCAATGTAGAAAGTAAGCTTAAAAATTAAGCTTAGAAGGAATGAAAGACAAATGAATTATTTTGTTTATTTTTGGCAGGAAAGCATTATGGTGAAAAAGTTACTGCTCTTATATTTTCTGGCTAAAATAGAAATTCCTTTGACACCAAAGTTCTGTTCTGTTAAAAAAAATTGGAATGAAGACATCTCTCTGTGTTTATATGATATATACTGAAGCCTTCTAAAGGGAATTGTCAATTTAAAAATTATCCAAATAATTAGTGCTACTCATGGTCTGATCTGTAATTTCACCAAGACTTAGTCTTCAGAATGCATTTCTTTTTTACTACATATGCTGCAAGTTAGTAAAACACTGAGTATGCAGGAGTAAAAAATTGGTGAGTTGTCAAGAGAGAAATGAAAATTCTGACTCTGATTTGGCGTTGAAGACATAACTGTACCTTCTGGCTCTGGCACCATTTGGAGTGGCTGTGGCAGATTGGTTAATCTCTCTTTGCACAGATTTCGCCTTTCTGAGACATCGTTGCTTACTAGTGTTTTCTTAGTTATCATAGCTATGATTTACTTCTAACTTCATACAAAAAGATACATCACTCCGAAACGTTCGATCTGTTAAAGATGACTTCTGTTAATGTCACCTGCCATTTCAGCATCATCTCTTTAGCCTTCCTGCTAGAAAGCTGTATCCCAAGCACAGTGACGGGTCATCTTATCTACTCTAGAGCCTCTCCCGCCCTCACTGTTTTAGGTGATGCAGACATGCTATCTTCACAGGCATGTAAACAAAAACACTGAAGACAAAACACTGTTTGACAGCTAGGAACTTCCCAGTCCTCAGATCTTTGATTTCTGTGAAGTTAATATTAATTAACTTATCCAAAGTTTAGTATTGTACTTTAAGAAAAGAGGATATCTATAGGGAGTCTATCTGTTGGTAGCTAAAGGAGATATTGAGCCTATTCTCTAATTAGAATTCAAACATCCTTAAGGAACTTTTAATTAGTTGGAAAATATGTATTTCTAAAAAAGTTAAAGTAGAGGTACTCTCATATGTGCATGTATAACCTCATCTTTGGCAACTTGAACATGCCAGTTGCCATGGAATAGAAATGTTTTCTTTGTGTGAATGACTATGGTTGCAGTGATCCTATATGAAAAATAATAGCTCTGCACTTAAATGAGGTATTCAGTATTAAAGAGATCTGCAAGATACAAAATGCTTCTTAAAGCATTGAAGCCCATGTTGCAAAAAGTTCACTGACTCCTGTGAAATGCAACTTATACAACAGTCCAGGAACTTGGTAATTATAAATTGATGAAATATTTGTTGAAAATAGAATCCTATGTTTGTGGCAATGAATCTAGGGTCTGCAGACAGAATAAAACTTGATTGGCCATGCCAGCCACTGTGCAAAAATGATCAAGGCATTAAAAGTACTAAATGTTATGTTTTATATCATTACTTGTTCTGGAGGTGGTTTCAGTTGTGACTTAAAATAAAACTAATAGCAATACCTCTAATCTGTACTGCGGGTGGGATAGGAGACTTGCAATCAGCTGAGCACAACTAAAAATCTGCTCTTGTTTTTCCTTGTGCTTACAATGTAATTATACTAACATAGGTCACATTATTTCCAAAGCTCCCTGTTTCTGTATCTGTCCATATGTCTACGCATTACTCTGCTAATGACTTTTGCAGAGTGCTCAAGGAATTTGGTTGAAGTGTACGTTGTCATTTATATGTTATACAGGAAAGATGAAAGGAAGAAAGAAGGGACGTTCCTTACCTTTAACCTGTATTTTGTTGTTCGTCTGTATCACTGGGCGTGCAACTACTGACTTGGATGACAGCGAAGAGGAGGATGTTCTGGGTAAGAGGTTTCAAAATTGACACACAAAACTAGCTGAAACAACAAAAACCAATATGTTAAAATGCACTGTAGATGTAATTCTGTACTTGTGATTTTTTTTCTGGGAAACTTTAGAAAGTGGAACTAAGCTAAAAATGCCCTGGTTTCTAACTAACAGGGAGATGCTCAGGATTTTGCCTTAAGTTCTATCAAAATTGCCTTCTATAAAGGCTTCTGTTTCCCATGCTTTTTGGAACTTCTGGTCCTAATCTAACATTGTGTTAGACATCAAGATTATTCCCTTAAAGCTCTGCTTTAGGACCCATGGAAAAGTTCAATGTTCAGGGAAAAGAATACACATCTGATAAACTCAGGTTTTATCTGCCCGTGCAAATGGAGCAGAAACATGATGAATAATGTTATAGGCTGATGTTGCTCTGTCCTGTGCACAGCTCTCTTGAGTCACAGTTAATTTTCAAAATTTCGTCTAAAGATAATGCAGTTACTGCCCTCGTTGTTTTTCTGGGCCTTGAAGATGCTCTTTATATAACCCCAAGTGAGTTGATATTTTTTCCTCTATTTATTTTGTTTATAAAAGACAGTAGGAAAATAATCTCAAGGAAATTAAAGTGGGTTTATTGGTCATTATTTTATCCCTGGTTATTTTACAACATTTAAGATTATACAACCAGTAACTGATTTAGTATGAGGAACAGTTCTGAACTTTTGGGCTTGTATTCCAAAGTAAAAAACAATCAAATATAATCCTTAGAAATTAAACTAGGACTCTGTTTTTGTGACTACTGAAGACTCAGTTGCAGTGTTTACATAAGATATTTTTACAGTACTCTGTTTCTGTAAAATGATTAGATTGTTGCTAATTAAAATTATGTATGTGGTTTCTTAAGAGTGAAATTCTAGTCTCAGTAAATTTAACCCTAGAAACTTTGTAGGCTGCAATTTCACTGATAACATTTATTTTTTGACTTAGATGGTTATAAAACATTGATATTTTATCCTACAATTCAATAAATTTCAGGTATTAAAGGATAAAATAAGTTGTGTACATCCATTATTCATAATGTCCTACTTTAGGGTCACATTGCATAGAAGTGCTTTGAATCTAAGAGGGTTTTTTTGCTTATTAGTATTTAAATTACAGTAATAACTAAGGTTGCAAGTCAAGTCCAATGGGATAAAAAAGGTTTCTCAGTTTGTTCTCTTCTGGCAACACTGGTCTTTTTTGCACCAATAAATAAGGGTAATAACAAAAAAAAGGCTAGAAATATAAATAGTTTAAGTATGTTGTTCAGTAATACCCTATGTGGTTGGGAGCACTTTAGTTGATGTTCCAAAGCCTGAAGAAAATGACTCACAAATTGAATGTGCTTTTTATTCCTATGTGAAATTTTATCAAGAATAAATGTGACTGCTTAAAGAAAGCATAGGAAACATGTGGGTAGGAAGAGCGCTGAAAAGCGTGTGGGTGGGAAGCTGTCAAACTGACAAAGATGGAGAGAGAAGAAACAGCTATTCATTAGTGACAAGGTGCTTAGTATTGATATCACTTATCAAAGAGAGGCATTTACAAGAAAGCCTGGAAAGATGACAGCATATCTTTATAATAAGGATAACCACAGGAACTCACATAAGGTTGAGCACCCATAACCTAAGCAAACAAAACCAGAAAGTATTTTGCATAAAAAGTCTGAAATATTCCTGACCAAGTTCTGTTTTCCCAATTTAATTTATATAGTTCTGTTCTGAAAAGCAACTACAATAATACTGTTGCCTCTCATATTTATTGTGCCATAGGTATAATACAGAAATCAGTTTGCTATCTAATTAAAAGGATGTATTTTTAACAGCCAGCCCTGCGGATTATCCTTAAGAGTCTGAAAGTCAAGTTAGAGTCCTTTATTATGCCTACAGCCAGGAGAAAAAGTATTGGTTTTACTTGTATTAATGTAAGAGGATTAGAGACATTATTCACCGCCTCTGGTTTTGTAAAATGCTGCTTACTAGTGAAGTGATAGCAGTGCTGTGCATTGGCCGTATAAGGCTACAGCATGACTAACTGCAGATTATTAGAGCTCTCACAATGAAATTACTGCCATGTTGGTTAATAGTGGCTGTTCATGTGTTAATGAGTTGCAAAAGTTGCAATGTGAATGACAATAAATGTGAGAATGGCTCTGCTGTGTAGGAACAGTCTTGGCCAGTATCCTGTTTCTGACAATTGCCAAAAGTAAGAAGACTGAAGGAATGGAGAAAGAAGGTGGTGACCCAAAATGTCTACACTAAACGCATGCTTGTTGTGAGCCATTTCATCAACATTGCTTTGCACTTACACAAACTATGGAGTGGAAAGGTTGTTAAGACAGAGCAGTGGACACTTAGTACCTTCTGTTACAAGAACCTATGTAGCTGATGTAATGAAGTCATTAAATTAAACATTCAAGGAGTGGGGGGTAGGAGAAAAGAGGATGTTTTGCTTTGCTTTGTTTTGGGTTTAGTATGGCAAGTAAAAACTCTTGTGTGGCAGCAACTCATGTGTGACAGCGAGCATCATCTGTAACCATTACTTAATATATTTCTAGCAAAACAAACTCAATTTTCTTCATCTAGGGTAGTACAGTCCTGTAATTCTATAGCTTTTCTAAGTTTATTTGGACCAGATGTCTAAATTGGATGAGTACTAAATATCCAACAGGGCCACATCCAATGTGGAGGATTAAACTAATTTTTAAATGACAAATACATCATGCTGTACTTAAGAAGGAGAATCAATGCATTCATAAATATAAGGTGGAAAATAATTGTTGAAGCATCTGTATAATGAGGTTGTATTTGCTGGAAGGTAAGTGGAAGTTGCAGAGCATTACAAAAATAATGCAGTGTTGTAAAAAAATGCAAGCAATTCTGTGTTCTATTAAGAAAAAAAACCCAAGGATACTTATTCCAAGCTATTTGGCACCAGTAATGCCTCAGGTAGAGGATTATGTTCAGCTGTGGGCAGCACACTTTAACAGTAATCCAGACCAACAGGAAACGGTCCAAAGGAGAGTTGTAAGAGGGTTAGAAAGCAAAGCCTATAAAAAGATTGGAAGAAAGGAGTTCCTTTAGTATACAGATAAATGAGGAGACAAAAGTCTTCTAAAAGGAAGAAGGCAGACCAGAGGTGGGCTATGGAAGTGATACAGTGAGTGCTAGGGGGCTGCTGCACCACGAAGGCTGGAAGGAACCTGGAGAGCCCGAAGTGAAGGCTCAGAGTGCAGGAGGCCACTTTCTCTCCTGCAGCAGCCTTGAATTGCGAGACACGAGTGGTGGATTAGAAAATCAAAACAAATTTACTATATAAATGGTTTTAGATTATTCTGTCTGTGCACTGAAGAAAGTATACAATGATTTAATATGTAATCAATAATATTTAGGCTGTATGTTACAAAAAAGGCCTGTCTTGCAAGAAGTGTGATGAATCCTGGAACTGGCTGTTTAAGGTTGCTGGGAATTTTACTTCTCTGGAGTTTTTAAAGAACAGTTTGGACATCTGTCAGAAAAGGTCTCAAGGTATTTATTCCATATAAATATGCCAAAACTTGTATGAGGAGCTGCATTAAAGTTCCTTCCAACATTAACTTCCCATGTTTCTATTGAAGAATATTCACTGACCTTCCTGACAGACTTCTTCCCTAAATGTCATATCCTGTGCTCTTCACACAGAATCTAAAATGTAGTAGGAACAATTTGTTCCAGTGTTCAAAAGCAGAGGAGGAGGCCTTATACTAAGAATTAGTTTTCTCAAGGTATATTCAACATGCAAAATCAGTACAGGCACATTTGTATCCGTGTAGATCTACTGGCCAAACACTCATGCTCGCCTTCTCATCTGCTGTGCTACTCTGAGAAGGAAAGCTAATTTTATATCATCTAAGTATTCCCAGGTGTAAAATAGCGGGGAAGAGTTTGTTCACTGTTCCCAAACACAGGAATGATTCAGTTCCCATGAATCCCTTTGAGACTTCTTTCTTCAGAGTCACTTGGTTATTGTTCAAAGTTGGAGAGTTTGGCCCCGGAGTGTTTCACAGGGTATGGACTTTAGTCAAAGTATGGTAACTTTCTAGCATTCCTAAGAAAATACAGATCTGATTGCCAGAAAGGGTGACACAGATGGTCGTTGTGTTTGCAGCAGATGTCAGTACATCTGACAGTGGTAACAGCGTCACTGTGACTGCTGGGGAAAGGCCTCAGGAGGTAAGCAAAATAATGATTTAGTTCTGTGGGTTTGATGGGAAATAGGCTAGGAGTTGAGACCAGAAAGTTCTGAAGATAAACTTTACTAAGCCATTTGTTCATCATCTTTGTGTAGTTTTGCAACTATGCTTGCACACTATTTCTGTTTTGATAGCCAACAACGTTGGTGGGGCACAGGCACAATGTAGCTAGAAAAATGAGCTGATATAACCCGATGTCTGAAATTCCAGTAGTTGGGAAACCTAGTAAGTTTTCACAACCTCTTCTAGACTGAACTGGGTCAGTGATACAGGTCATCTAAGGGATCTCATTTTTGGTGTGCCAAGAAAATAACATGTTTATAAAACAGCTGCCAGCCCTCACTCCAACTGCATTTGAGTTGGATCAGTTTCTGTGGAACTCTGAATGTTTGATTTTACCATTTCAGGAGTTATTCCAAAAGTTACTGAAAACTTTGATGTTTTGAAGGCGTTTTTTCCCTATTACTGAGTGGGGGAATTCCAAAGTTTCATTTTGCAGTGCAGTATCCTCTGAACTTTTCAAGATGAGCCTTTTTAAGTCCCTTCCAAAGGATTTCCAAACCTGTCGTAGAACTTTAGACCTTTGAGGTCCAACTTGGAATCTCTTGTGACTTCTAAATCCTAATTGTTTGTGGACTCAGGAAGACCCAGATAAGTAAACTGGCAAGAAACAAAATTCAGATATCTCTTTGGCAAGCTGAGCTCCACAGGAAGTTTACAGAATCTAACATGTCTTAAAAATGATTCTTTAATTCATCCACATTTCCTATTAGACAGTCTTCAATAGTATTTTCAGATCTGGTTTCCTAACATCAAAATCTGTGAATATAATTTCACTCATGAAGAACCAGTCACAAACTATTTTAAGGACTGAATATTTCGTGCAATTTTTAAATGAGTCATCTTAATATGTATTTTAACACCAAATTGTCCATTTTTGGATGGTCTAATTGTGTGCTACAATTTTGGCATTGATGGTAACTGTGCAGTAAAGGCTGTTAATTTTTCAAGGATTTAAATGCTGTGAGTTAAAAGATTTTAGTGCTGAAAGATGTTTCTTTCCTGTAGGATTAATAAGTTATCAGAGACTCAAATGGAATAAAATTAGTAAACTTCCATTGACCTCAGTGTTTATGAGGATTTGTCTCAGCTGTGCATTGCATTTAAAGCCCTTATTATAAGGCCAATTTTATATGTTAAAATTAGATATCCACAGAGCAGGTAGGTAGTAGTTATATCAATTTCCTTTTTGCCATGTCATAAAGCCTGATTTTTGTGGATTCTTTTAATTAAAACTGGAAACTTAATCTAGTTGGTAGTAGAAAGCTGTGCAATAATGTCCTGGTTTCAGCTGGGATAGCGTTAATTTTCCTCTCAGTAGCTGCTATTGTGTAAATGGTCATGTAAACTCTCGTCCTCATCCCTTTTTTTTTTTTTTTTTTTTCTTCCTCCTTCCCAGGCCACTGCAAAAAGCACAGATAGGTACTTTTACATATACATATTAGGAGACATCAAGGTTCTGACTAGCTCTTGGGGAATGAATGAAAAATTTCAGGTCTGCGCTTCTGGCTGCTATTGCAAGTACACAAGCTCTGTAAAGCTTTCAAAATTCTCTAGGGTAAAATAGTTCTTTGGAAAAGCACAACAGGAAATTATATTAAACCATATATTGGTAAGGGAACAGTATCAAAAACTGGTTTGTCAGTCAGAATTTCCTTATAGACAATGACAGTGTAAAATTTTGCTAGTGTTCTTCACAATATATACGACAATTGTTACAAAACATTCCGTGACCTAATAATGTATATTGAAAGACACAGAAATGTCACGATTTGAAAAGATACCGTTTCTTTTCACCTTAACTTTGTAGTTGTGTGCTTCTTAGCTCTTGAAAGCTCTAATGCAAGAACAGGGAGAGGAAAGAAAAGGAGAGAGAACGAAGACCTTTCGATTATACCTGGTGGGTTGCTGTACCAGTAAAGGTACTTTGGTAGGGGGATGGTGCCCTCTGCAGGGCGGTCTTGCTTAGCTCATCCCACACTGTGCTGTGAGAGGTCCTTATGAGCTGTTCACTGTTAGAAGTGCATGGAAAAGAGCACAAGGAATCCTCTTTCTGCCTTTTCTATGCAGGGGTAGTCACTGTGTCTTTGGGAGCTACTAGGATTTTCTCAATGTGTTTATTGTTCAGAATTGCTCACTAGCTCTTGTGACTAAGCCACTATCCATAGCTATTTAAAGATTTTATGATGAGGGGTTAAAGTTTATAATCTGAGTTGTTTTGATTGAAAATTAAAACCACGCATTTTGTTTGATTTGTGTTCCAATGCAGATGATGATTTTCTTTTTATATCTGTTTAGTGTGTTCAGAGCTTTACAGCCAGATGTTATGTGGGTGCCTCTCTAGCAGAAGATGCAAGCAATCTCTTTTTGAAGTTATCCTGTGCAATGAAGCAAACTAACTTAATAAGAGTTATTCTACTTCTCCTCTGTGTTACAGGTGCTGCTTTGCCACCACTGAAACTTGGGCATTCAGTCTGTGCCATGAAAGTAGATGAAGGTCCATGCAAAGCAATCCACATGCGCTATTACTTTAATATCCAAAGCCGTGAGTGTGAAATATTTGAATATGGTGGATGCCATGGCAATGAGAACAACTTCCTGACACTGGAAGAATGTCAGAAGAAGTGTGTAGCAACAGGCCAGTACCCATTCTCTTATCCTCCTGTCAGTGCTTAATTTGCATCTGTTATTTCTCATCTACAAACTGTATGAATTTTGGAAACAGAAGTGCTCTTCAGTTCCTATTTATACAGTAATGTGGTGCCTCTAATTATGTTCCCAAGTATTATACCACATTGTAGTCATCTGAATTATTTTACATTGTGCTAACAAACATTCAGAATTTGAAAAGATAAATGCGACTTTTTTTAGTGGACCTGTGGAGAGACTGATGCAATAAAGCTCATTTTCTAGCTAGAGCGCTGTTTTGAATGAGTTCTTAAAGTGAAATTGATTTTGAGGCTGGGCTAAGCTGGTGGGTGGCACAGATGTTCTTCATTGCTTTCAGAATATCTAACCCAATTTTTGATCCCAGGTTTCTCCTTCACTTGAGAAGCTGATAGAAACTGTCCAAAATTTTGGATATCTGCTATGATTCAACATAATTAGAACTAGTAAATAGTCCTCAATACAAATGTCAGTTATACCTGTTTGTCATAAAAGATCTGTTCTGTTGAATCCTCATCAATTAATCGTTAGAAAAAGGAGAATGAGATCCAAAATACAATATGCAGCAGAATATGCAGAAAGCGTCTTGTGAAAGCTGTTTTTGCTATTAAAAAAGATCCTGGTAATTAACTAAGGCTTTCAGCCTTGTGAAAGTAACCAACTCCTGTTCCTCACAGGAGTGTATGAAAGTTAGAAGATTCTTAAATTTGGAAGTTAATGTCATTAGAGCTTGAAAATTGACAAGTTCATGTTTTATAGAGACTGATGGAATTCAAGTCTTATTGAGAGTTTCCTCTGGATACCTAGTATGGATCTTGCTTTCATGGGAGTTAGATGGAATGTGTCTGGCTGTGTAAACAGGAAGTGATGGTGAGGGAGGTACTGGGCTGGGCAGTAGAAATTCCAGAATAAAGAGCTCCTTAAAGGTATGTGATAACCCTCAGATAGTATACCAACTATGTGTTTTTTTCCTAAGCGAATTCGCATGTTGGATGTTCATTTATTTAGACTTTGAGATAAAATAGAAGGATTCATTCTCAATAGAAGGTACTTTTCAGTCACATATGCCTTGCTCAGCAGCAAAATACATCATTAATTGTTACTGAACTCAAGACAGTAACGCTGGGCAATCCCACAGTAGAGAACACAATAGAGAGTACGTATCTCTCCCATCCCAGTATCAGAGTAATGACTGGAGCTGATGTGCGCATGACCCTAAGTAATATTTTAGTAATGTTTGTTAGTTATAATGCTTCTAATCCTCAGAATCTGCAATCATTAATTGTTCATACCAATAAGCCAGGTACTGTAAATAAGCAATTTGTTATCTTACCTTTTACTGACGGAAGAAGAAAGGTGGTAAGGTAACAGAAAAATAAGTGAAGTCCATAAATGGCGTAACAGTCAGCGCAGGGAGTACAGCCCAGGGTGCCTGGCCTTTACTTGACTAGTAGGTATAATCTCTTGTCTTCTGTCTATGTGACCTGTATAGTCTTGATACTATTTAATAGAGTCTTAATACACAGGTTGATCCGTTTTTTCAAAAAGTTACAGGTGTTTAAAATGAAAGGAAAAATTATTAAGAAGTTTTTGCAGCTTCTGTGTTGCCTTATACTACTTTTTAGCTACCGGTACAGTTAGCTGATTATGTTTATGTAGTAAAACAATTTGTTTGAATACAAACCAATGCAACAGCAACACATGTGGTTGTCAAGCATAGGCTTTGCAAATTTCTGGTCTGCAATTAAGTTCTTTGACTCAGAAAGAGAATAAACACAAACATGACCCTTAAATTTTAGAATGAAAGCAGGTTTTGGTTATTTTTCTAATCGGTTATGTTTTGCTTTCAAACAATTGCATGCTTGTAAAACTATCTGTGTCAGAATGGAAAAAACACTACAAAATTTCACTAACAACTTGTCAAAGTGAATAAGATGAGATCGCTCCATTCTTTAAGTGAATGGCAGTTTTTTCAGTGCATTTTACTCTAAGGATTAATCTGAAGCTTATCTTTTTGATGGCTGCTGGCAAGTTGAGCCTCAGAGACCAGATATGTTCAAGGGAAGAAGAGGCAAGAATCAATCACAGTCTCACTCTATTTTCAGGAGTCATATATGGGTAAACATAGTGCCAAGGATATTAAAATAACGTATGAAATGACATCCCATCATGGAAAAATTATATGGAAATCATTATTCCTTAGTTACTAAATAACATAATTTAGCATTTCAAGTAAAAAAAAAAAATTACATAGAGAAAAGCATCTTCCTGAATATAAACGACTAACACAAAAATTGTATTTTTCTCCTTTTCTACCTCTGATGTTTTGTTCATACATTTCTACAAATTGTCTAACAAAAGGTTCTAGCTGTTCATGCTGTTCGGAAACTGAAACCTGCAATATTTAAGGCGAGCAAATAGCCTTATACTGGTTATAGCATAGCTTAGAATTAGTAATGGATTTCAGATTTCTTGTAGCAAGGCCTAAATGGTAATTCTGATATCTCTGTATATGGATTATTTTCTCCAACCAGAATATGCTAGTTCTAGTGCTTGTTAGTAGGGAAGGTAGGGATGTAGTGCTTGAGGCTTTAAAGACAGGAGTTGGTCTTGCTGCCAATCTGGGCTGAAGGTTGCCACCCACCAAATGTAAAAGACTTGCATTTAGCATTTAGTAACCATCACCCGCGTAAAGGTTTATGGCTGAAGAAACTGATGACTTTCTGCTACTCAACCCAGACGGAGCAGATTTTTGAGTATTGATTAGTATTACTTATTCTGTATGGTTATCCAGAAGATGTATCTCTATCAGACTTGAATGGTGATATTTTTGTGAGTGTTGAAGACAGATTAATATAATTTTAAGGAGTTAAAAATTATTCAAATTATGGCATTAATATTTTGCATAGGAATGGTCTGTTTATCTGACAAATGGCCTTTCTAGATTTAAAGTTCTTCCTTTGTCAGCTGGCTTCCATGAGTCATAAGTTTGTATCATGGATTTAACTGTGGGCTTTTTTTCCCCCTTGTGAACAACTGTCATAAAAGTTTCTTACCATATTTATTACAGTTTCAGCACAGAAATTAATGAAACTTGCTACTGAACTACACAGTTAATAAGTAAGTTAATAAGATCTAAGTTTAAAAAATGAATCTTGGCAATGTCATCCTAAGAGAACAATGCCTTAAAAGGCATTTTCTTCACTTCTGCAGTGTTTTGTTTAGAAAATTGTGATTAATCTGTTTCTCATTATGGCTCCACAAAGTTTAATGATCTTTTAAGGTAAAAAAGTGGAAACTTTTTTTTCTTAATTAGCGTTCAGCATCAGAAGGCCCTAGGATCTAGAATGTGAAGATAGCTCTTTTTCTGTCACCAGGTTGGCTTTTGGTACTTTACGTCTGGTTTTGGGTTTCAGCTGGACTCACAGCATTTTTGCCATGCTTGGAGCAGGGTTGTTTGCAGGACTGCAGCTGCCAGTATCTTGTGGAAAACATGCGACATCCTGGTAATTTGGAATGTTTGTTCTAAATTCCAGCTTAAAGGCTAAGACAGAGGGCTAAACTGAAAAAGACAGGGTTGATAGATACAGAATTTAGAATGATAGTTGTCCAAAAGTCATGATCAGGTGTGACGAGTGAAGATCAATAACATTATTTCTTTGATCTAATGTTGCTATTTTGACTAATACTGTTATTTTGATTCTGACCTATAGTTTGGATCAATATCTGGAACAGATCTTCTGGATTGAATCCTGTGCTGACGTATAATTAGCATAAATCCATAGAATAAAACTGGAAGTTATTTAAAATCAAAACTGGCTAAGGGTCTATGTCACTCAGCCCAAGTACAGTATTTGGTGTATGGATAATAACGATCCAACACTCGGCAAGTGTTGAATCTGCTGTGAGGAAATGGATCAGTAAAGACTCATTATTTCTGTATTCTCTGAATAAAGTACAGCAGATAAAATGGTTTGGTGGCACACACAGTATTCTGTCGACCATCAGCCATAAGATAAACTAACAAGTTAACCAGCTTTTGCCAATGTAATTCAGTAAAAAAATATAATTCAATAGGTTCTATTTGTTAAATATGGCTCTGTCTGCAGTCTTGCAGTATATGGTTATATTCATCTTGCTTAATGTTTCCAGTGTTTATTACTGCAGGAAGATCACTGTTTAGTTACTGTAGACATCAGACCGAAAAGACAATATGAGTGACATGAAAATGCTTAAAAATAAAGAAAAATCTAAGAGATAGACAATTATCGCTGTGAAGAATGGGAAAGTCAAGATCACTAAAAGCAAGCTAAAGGGAGGTTACGCAATGTATATAAAAATTTCAAAGAAATAATGTGAATAGTCAAAGTGTCAGATTTTCCAATATTAAGCACAAATGCAAGAATAAATGAGCCAACGTGAGTGATTTGCCAGGCTCCTTAAATCAGAGCAACTTTTTAAAATTTTTGAATTAATAAACCATCAAAGACAGAAATTAGTAATTCCCGGAACTTATTGAAGTCAGTACAAGAGAGTTCAGAGAGCCCAGCTACAGGTTGGCCACTCCAAGACCTCTCTAAGACAGTGTTCAGATTCATGTCCAGTTCTGACTCAAGTCTCCTAGAAATCAGCTGCATTTTTTGTTTTTTGTGCCCAATGCTTGCCACTTCAGGGAAGAAAAAATTACTTTTAAGAGGAGTTTGCCAATATGCTCCATTGTTTACTGGATATGAGCAGAATCACAAATGTCAGCACTAGCACAAAGGTCCTAATTTTCAAGACAGTGAATATATATCTTAGGCTACTTAAGCTTCTAACATGGGAAAATACCGACTGATAAAAGGTTCTGGACATGAAAGCAATTCTAATATCTATTATTTACACAGCAGATCTACTCAGAAATACAGTTTGTTTACAAAGAAGAAATTAACTCAGCTGTGGATTTGGCTTTTTGACTGAAACCAGAAGCAAAAAGACACTGTTGACATGGTAGTAAGATTGAAATATTCTAGGCCTGTATAAACTCACAATAAATTCTTCCTGTTCTGTGCCAGAAGAGTAGAGATCATATGCCAAAATATGATTGCTGATTTTGGCCTGAAGGGGACAGCTGAGTGAAATTAGAGAAATGGCCTGATGTGAGTGTCTGTGGTTTAGGTCATGGGTTTAAATGCTGAAGGCACAACCTCCTACTAATAGGAAGCACTGGAAAGATGTTCAAACAAACGATACGTCATTCTAAAGTGCATGTCATGTCTTGAAATAATATTTTTTTAAGGATACCAGCTGCATTGTCCTAGAGATGGAACGAAAACGTGTGATGATAGAATTTCTACCCAATAGATTTACTTTGAAAATATTACACAGGCCATGTTTCCAGAAGAGAAAGAAAACACTGGTAGGATTATGGCACACGAGGGCAGTACAGCTAATAGTAAAAGTCATCATTGGCACCACTTAAAACAGGAGCCACAGAAGGTATGTTGTTATATAAAGGATGGTTAGAAACACTTGCTCTGGAATATGAGTGGAGAATAAACTGCTAACATTCCTTTCAGTTTTGGACTGTGAAGAGATTGTTATAAATGGGAGGGAGCTTATTAAGATTACAAATTACAGAAAAGTTGAGGATACAGATGGCTCAAGTACCTTCTGTTACTCCTTCCAGAACAAGGAAGGGCACAGCAGCAACTCTGCTTTCCAGCAGCTGGGCAGAGCAACACACACACAAAGTCACAGAGAGGCTGTAGTGATGTCCTTTAGGTGTGTGACTTAGCGGCCTTCTGGGAAACATGGCATGAGAGACTAATGCGTGTGATTTAAATTCAGATTAAAATCTGTAATTCCCTTTGAATGCCTTTTCATTTTGGGTTTCAAAGGCGACTAGACCATGGGTTACCCTGAGGCTTTATGAGCAGGTCTCTGGAAGACATGTATCCACTGACGCAGGAAGAGCCGTCAGCCCTAGTCAGTAGTTGTAATATGCTTCTGCTACTGAACTGCTACTTTTGGCACGTACTATAGGGAATTGGTATCTACTTAAGGGGGGCTGTGGTAGCTAAGAAAGATGGCCAGGGTCAGGCAAATATATTGCTTCATTGTAGTATGTTTGATTGCCTGACAGAGCAAAATGCAAAATAAAATTACATTTGCTTTCCAGCAGACAACTTCAAGCAAAGCATTAGCTGTACCACTCTATTCCTTCTCTCAGATACAAGAGATTGGCAGGCAAAGAGAGTTTAGAGAAACTAGCATTTTATAATGCCATTAAGAAAAGCACAACTACGAAACACGAATTACAAAGCAATGCAATTAAGATGGCTCAGGTGAAGTCCAGAAGCTACTATTTCATGCACCTTGCAAAGTATCTTTGTAATAGAAAATATATAAGCTATCCTTGGACAGTTTTCTCTCTCAGCTGCCAAAAAAATTTCAGCCTTTGTTACAGTTTGGCTGAGCCGGTGTCTCCCCTTGGACTCCTTCGTAGTTTTATATAGGCAGCCTTCTAGAAGGGGAAGAAGGTTTATTTTCAATAGCTGAAGAGGAAAGTGGGGTTGAATTCAGATGTTCAGCTTCATGAGCAAGTACAGTAAAACCCAGGCTCCTCCATTAGAAATGACAACAGCAAGTTCGTCACTGCTGATTAGGCACGAAAAGAACAATGCAAACAAGATTGTCATCCCTGAAGATAGTTGGAGATACTTGGCTGAATGGTCTTTAGTATCGTAAACAGCATGATGAACACTTTACTCGGACACTACATAGCATGGGAAAGGGAATTAGATACCATAAGAGAGGTCTTTATTGCTAACTAGATCAGCTCCAAAGCTATTAGCAGTATCAGTAGCTACAGCAGTTGGGTTAAGTAAATCTGCTAAGTACTCTTCTTTTGAGGGGTAAGAGTACATAATACAGGATTCTGGTTCTAGTAACATAAAGAGGAATTTCTCTGTTCCATTTAATTTTGGCATAATGTAATCCCAGTACTTTCCATATCTTCAAGTTTCCAATATAGCAAGTCTTTTCATACAAAGGCAATGGTACTTCAGTCCTTCAGGTCAAGCTTTTGTGCTACTTCTCTAATAAAGAGAAGAAAGAAGGTGAAAAGATACTGTGTTCTTCCTCCTCATAGTCACTGCTAAGCACCCTGGTATCACAGGTGAGACTTAACATGTCTGCTTTTGCTGAATACTTTTCTTTTTACTTATATTGCAGAATTACCTCAGAAGATGATGTTGGCAAAAATCAGGAAAGGTAATTATGTTTACATAGCAATCTTATACTCTTATACCACGATAAGAGATTTAACTTCTTTTGATAAATTCTTTATGTATTGTTCTAAGCTATCTCCTAATAAAAACAAGAACGTCAGACTGAAGTGAGTTCTTATTCCCAATCTTCCTCTTCTGTGTTCCTCAAAGACTTTGAGAACATTTGTGGGCACTGAAGATGTAGCTGCAATCTCTTTTCCACAAAATAAACACATCATGACCCCTTCTTTCTCTTTATTCAATAAAGAGAAAAGAAGGAATCTGCAGAGATTCAAGCTTTATATAATTAGCCATGGTGTGGAACTCTTGTGTGTTTTGAGAATAATCTAAATGCTTCCTCCACTGTTAACAAAAATATGAAAAATCACTCCAGAACAGAACTTTTCAAGCATTGCCTGTGTAGGAGCTAAGAGAGGTTAGGGCAGATCCCCTAATTACTCGTTAAGCAAGGAGGCAAGATTCCCACTCCTGAAGGGGCAGGCTGTTTACAGAAATTTAAATGCCTGATACCCAGACTTCCTAAGTAGCTGATGCTTAAGCACCGAGAATCGCTTGTGTTGGAATACTGTTGTTCTGTTGAGGTCACCTATGTTCCTGACAAGAGTATTTAAGTTTGACACTTATAGTAGAGCTTGTGAAGACTTATTTCATCCCACTCTCTCTTTTCACATTAGACACATATCTGAATCGGGCCCAGTGCTGGTAGCCAGAGTTCCCCAAATACAGACTGGAGTAAATTTGTTCACAAGTCAGCTCCTTTTTCTCTGCTTACCTTCCTTCCCTTATCCCTCCTTCCACTTGCTTCTTCTTGAATTGATGAGCGTTTAACTCCTCACAGAAACACCAATATTTGCACGTACAGTTTGAAATAGACAAATTAAGAAATTTATCTTTGCAGAATAGTATTCTGGAATATTTTCATGCTGAGGTGATGGTTTTCTTTTCCTGTTCCTGTTGTCTACTGTCTTTTCCATTCTTAATGCATAAAAAAATGAAAAAAAATCATGGTTCTGTGCTGTGGAAGTTACTGAAGTTGATTTTCCACAGATGCAGCAGACATTTGGTGCTGCTTCCTTTAAGGTCTGACCCTAGTTCCCTGCTTTTAATGACAAAGCAGAACATATCCTGTTAAATTCAGCTCGTGGATATCATCCCCCTCGTTACATGTTTACTGTTGTTTCCAGTAACGTAGTCTAGAATATTGAGTCTCTAGAGAAGGACATGGCATTTAGAAGTATAATACTAGTTTGTATAGTTAGGATTATATTGCCTTCATGACCTGTCACTTCAAATGTGGCTGTAAAAGTTAGCTGTGTGCTCAACTTACTTGGACTTAATTTCTTTTTTCTGTAAGAACCATTTTAATATAAGGGTTTTATAAATGAAGAGCAGCTGTTTTTAAGAATCAGTCATAATCCTGTAGTCTACTTTACATACCCTTATTATTATCTACCTTCCTTGCTCAGTTAATATCTATCTAATAATATTTTTCTGTTATTTCACAGTATTGTACAATGTTTGAGAGAATTCTTTCTGCAGCTGCTGTTGTCTGTGAGCTTCTAATAGATGATGTATGGAATAGATACTACTCTGGTAGATTCTTGCCTGCTGCCTGTCTGCATAACTGTCTCATTTCCGTTCGCAGCTGAAAGCATATCGTATGCCTTGCCCGTACCTTTCATATTTGTTGGTCTATGTGAGCTTAGTTTTGTAAATCTGTGAACATCAATAGATGCTGCATTTTAATAGTAAGAAATGTGAAATATCTGAACAGCAGATTACATATACTTACTGGCAGAGAATGCAATTTGTAGTGAAAAATCAACATTTGGCTATCCAGGAGTGCTTAAAATAGTTGATTTTGTTACTTTATGCAAGAACATTTCAATGGTTTAATTTTACATGTGATCTCTGAAAATGACATTTTGCTGTTCATGAAGTTTTATTACGACTGAAATATAAGATACTGACAATTAATTATTGGAAAAACACTAATGAGCTATTATAATGTTTTCTGTAAATATATTATGTCCATCAATTAAATTTAATAATATTCTTGTTTTAGCAATGCTTTTTAATAGATACTTGGCTAAAATAGATGTAGTAGGATTAAATTCTTTACAACTCCATAACCTCCTTCAAAAAAGTTAGAGACTTCAAAGTAGTTGTTCTATAGTAATTTTTATTAAAAAGGCAGCCCTCTGCACACTGTTTTAGTCTTAGTATTCTATTAAATTTCACAGGTAAGGAAGGCCTTTATATGTCACATCTGAGATTATTGTGTCATATGATGGCTAAATGCAATTTTCTCTGCAAGTCAACTCAGTCAAGAATCATATTTCAAAGTATCTACTAGCAGGAATTTGAGAATAACTTAATGTATATTTCATTATTGTTTCCATTGTTTTCTTTTAAGTATATAATTTTGAGAAAAAATTTAATATGGTGAGAAATTGACATTTGGGAATTATTGTATGGCTACATGTTTTTCTTCTCTGCCAGAAGCCGTGATATCATGCCTTGATATTCAGTCAAATTACACAGTATTAATTTGTTAACTTTTTCTTGGATAATATTGTAGTTACTGATTGCAAACTAGGAACTGGGACTGAAATATGATTGTTGGAATAGCTGTTCTGTCTCCCAGTTTCCTGTATCCTTTTATGTCCCAGATGAAATGCATTGTTAGATTTTTATTTCCTGTTCTTTTTTGAAAACTATTTCCTCTTTCCTTCTATTTGAACATTGCTTTCTGTATATTTCACACAAACTTTGACTAAAACGACTACATAAATGACAAGAATGTGTACTTAGATTCAAGTGATCCATCTGAGATTCAAGTCTTGTTTTAATTCAGAATGAAAACTAAGTTTCTTCTTAGCGCTTCAATGTAGGAGGACACTTCAAGGAATCATTAATCCTCATTTTCCAAGATAGAGTTTAATGGCCATTTGAAAAAAGGGAAAAAAGCAATAAAAATATCCTGTAATATTCCAGCATAATATTGCAGCGTTACATATAGAAGAAAAGCAGTACGATAAAGCAGCAGTTATTTTACAGTCGGTTTTTAGTCCAAAGTTACAGGTTTATTTTATAAACTTCCTCCTGTTCTATTGTTGTCTTGGAATGTGTGTTAATTTATTCCACCACCCCCCCCTGTCTATCGTTTACCATTGTTTGTAGAAAAGCCCAACTTCTGCTATCATGAGAAGGACCCTGGAATCTGCCGAGGCTATTTTTCCAGGTATTTCTATAACAAAGAGACAAAGATATGTGAAGTATTCAAGTATGGTGGGTGCCTAGGAAACCAGAACAACTTCAAGAATTTGGAAGAATGCCAGACTACCTGCCAAGGCAACTGTAAGTTGTTGTCCTCATTATTCTTAGTTCTATTCTTGTGTAAACAATGTTGCGTTTTGAAGGTATCTTGCACGGGACAAAAAGGCAACGTAGGGTATCCTGAGGTGGCAAGAATTTTTATCTGAAATGAACGTTAATTATATATTTCTAAAAGAAAAAGATAAAATGAAAAATATAAACTAAAAAAGCTGGTAGGTACTATTAATTTTAATGAATATTATGACTCCTATTTTTTTACTTTTCTCATGACAGTTAGTTGCCTGCATATATGTTAATTCTACAACCCTCTGCAAAATGCGTATTAACTATATTAATTTTCAGAAATCTGCATGCTATTTAATATACCTACGTTCAAACAAATAGTGTGCGATGTATCATTTGAAACAGAATGTTAGAAGCAATACAGACAGATGAAGTAATTAAAGTAACATCAGTTTCAGCTGAAGAGGGGATTGGGTCCATAATGAGTACTGTTTGCTGGTCGTACCTTGACATTAGAGCATCACATTTCTCCATTAAACTTGTCATTAGGGGAAAAATTTTGCAAACGCACTTTCTAGGACAGAAATTTGGGGATATTTGGTTTGAAATATATTGTAAAAATATTCGTGCCTACTATGAAAAAGGCAGAGTGTTTACGATAATAGATATTATAATGGCAGGGAATGAAGAAATGGACTTATTCTGGTTACATCCACATAAATCTTTTTCTGTAATCTGAGATCTCCCAGCTGCTTGGCTTTTTATTATCATAAAATGTTAATATATATTTTTTAACCCATACATCCGAATATACTCTTTTCAAATCAAGTCTTGTAATGAAAAGGGATACTAATATAGGAATTCCTGGTTTCACTGTTTCCTTATTGTGTGTTGCTAGCTTCCCACCCAAGAATCATGGGAAACCTGTACCTCACCTTCGAATGATTTGGCTGTGCAGCTTAGGCTACAAAACAGCCGCTCAGACTGACCATAGATCCTCATCCACTTCCTCGTCCTACTAGTTCCTATGAATTGTTCTATATCAGAATATAGTAACCTTCATAACTCCTCTCCGCTTCTCAAAGTGCTTCATTTTGTTCGTAGGAAGAATACATTTTCCCACCCAGAGCCTCCAGACTTTTTTGTCTTGCTTGTCTCTAGTGGGTCTTTTTCCAGGACTGTTTCATAATCTGTCATTTTGGCAAGCAGAACTGGAGCTTAATCACATTTAGAAAAGGAAGGACCCACTATGGTTCTTCTTAAAAAAAGTTTTTTTAAAAGATGTACATATAGAAACATGTGCTTTTCCCCTATCTTTGCTGAAGCATTTCTTTCTGGGTTCCGATTCCACTTTTACATTCTGGACTAAAAGCAGAATGCTCTTTATTCCTGACTTTATATAACACATCCGTGTAAATTTGTATGAATACCCAATAAGAAAGAGAGGATTAGAGGCCATTGCCGTGGTTTAAATAGATCAAAGGTTTTACCTTAGTGATACTGAATAGTTGATACCAATTGTTTTTTGTGGGTTTGTTGGCATTGTTTTCCTTTTGTTTTTATTTTAGCTAATTTATTGCCAATTGTTCCAGCTGAAGAGCATCCTAACACTGGGAACAGTAGCTCCCCAGGGAAAGAACCCAACCAGTTCCCTGGGATTTTTGGTAAGAATTTGCCTTTGCTGTTTATAGTTACCCTTTTTTAATGCAGACACTCCTTGGCTTGTCCAATTATTTTCCCATTTATTTGAAGGCATGAATGTTAGTTGCAATATATGAGCACAGTGAGTTCAGTAACATTAAAACTAGCTTCATAGCAATTTTGTTGTCAGTAGCACATATTTTGAAAAAGGCTTACAATTGCAAAGGTGAGAATGTCTGCTAGGAACATAAAAATAACCTTACCAAACCATGTTTGATTTAAATCTTCTATCAATAAAATTAAAGAAGGAGAATGAATCCATCCCAAATTTGCCTCAGTACATCAGTTTCATGTGTCTTTGGGACTTCAAGAAATGCTGCCTTTTAGTGGTATTAATACTGGCATGGAGCAAGGCAAAAGGATACCACTCATAGCTTATTTTCAGAGCTTTGCTGTGTCTAGATGACCCGTCACATACTGTTTGACCTTTTTTTTTTCTTCCCTTTTAGTCAATTTGTTGCCAACTGCTCCAGATGAGAAGTCCAACACCATGAACGGTAGTTCTTCAAAGGAGAAGCGCAACCAGATTCCTATTTCTTTTGGTAAGAAGTCACTTTTGCAGTTCTTAGCTCTTGGTCTTTTATATGCACTTTGGATTGCTTTTCCATTTCCACCCATTTTCCAACATATCTGAGACTAAAGAATGGGCTTCTATCTATGTCAAATATTTTGGTAAACAGAAAAAGTCAAAGCAAAGAAATATACTGCCACTGTCAGATCTTGTATAAATATCAGAAAGTGGAATACTGGTCACATCTTGTTCTCTTGTGAAAGTGTGCTCTTTCTGAAGGTCTGATAAATAGAAATATTTAAAGACCAAAAGCAGTGGTGCAGAGTTCTTTTAGTCAACATTTATGTTTTTGTGGGATCTAATTGACAGCTGATATAAATCTGCTATTAGCCGTTAAAAAAAGGACCATACTTGGATTTTGGAATATGGCACAATGTATTTATCACAATAAGTTTTTTTTCACTGAGGCCATATTAAACTCAGTGCTTGGTTTGAGTATAATCAAAGTGAGCGTGAAGTAATTTTGTGTCTGCTTCAAAGCATTTTTGCGATATGTGTTATAATGCAGATGAGAATCTGGACTTTTACTGTAGAGGGCTAGGTTTTAACAGTTTCTACAGCTGGCGGCTGTCCACTATAGGTGATTGCTGGTACTTGCTCAAACTGTAAAGGGTGATTGAATTTGAGGCATGTCATTTTTGTGATCCACAGTTATGCAAGAGGAAGCAAGAAACAGTTGGAAAAAGCCTGAGCATTCTTACCAAGTATTTCTGTTGTGTTTTTTGCATTTATGCTTACTTGTACTTGTGGGGATTGAGTGATGACTTACAAATTAGTTAAGATTTTTTGTGTTTAATATGATCTGTAAGATAACGGGCATGTAGGATAAAATTCCTGTGCTCTTTACTTAGAATGATATATCTAATAAAGCTTGAATGTGTATTGTATTCTGTTTTTTTGCCTGCACTGTGATCCATATGCACTGTTAGGTTGAGGTAAGTTTCTGTGATAGTTGGATTGGTTTCTTACCACCTACAAAGCATCAGTGCACTCTGTTACTAAAATGCCTGAATATAAACCATAAAGCTTTTGGCAACTTATTTCACTGAAAAAGAATTGAGTGCTTTAAGACCTGATAATAAGTCTAGGGACATAAGATCATATGTGTTCCCTGAAAGTTTTTACTCATAATATGAATCCCCAAAACAACTAATGTATACGAGCAAAGGGGCATGATTCACTATGTTTTCTCAGGGTTCTTGATTATGTCAGCAACAGTGAGTTTTCTGGTAGAGCAGATTTTTGGAGGGAGAGGTGAGGGTAAGAGAACAATAAGACTCTAAAGTTTGTGGAAGAAAGGGTTAGGGAACAAGCGTGGATGGAGTCCGTGTAGCTAGATGGATCAGGTGAGAAATGTGACCTTGGAAGACCCCACAGGTTCTTCGCTACTATATAGCCTTTGTCTGTCTTGCATTAGCCTGTCCTGTGCGGCCACCTGCTGCCATTCTCTTGATCAGCCTGTAGCGTGCAGGCTGCTGGGACAGGCTAAAGTCTTGTGCTTTGTGAAATCCCACTGCGGGGGCGGGGGAAAGGGTAGGGTCAAAACTGACAGCTGATTTCTCCACAGAGATGTGGAGAACATAGCTTCCATTCCTGATATTACTAGAGGTAGAAGTGTAAACTGAAGTTGCAGGATAGAGCCATCTCACACAAACATGCACTGTGACTCTTCATGGTCCTCAGTGAGGGACAAGAATCTGGCTGTGCATATATGAGGTCCAGCTGGACTGTTTGGGGTGGAGGGGCTGATGCCCATCTTCTTTAGCACAGGTAAAGTAGCTGGTCTGCCACTGTAACATCTATTTTGCATGTATATTGGTGTGGCTATGTATCTTCTTTTTTTTTGAATACATGACCACCATTAGGAAAAAAATTTCACAGCGTTTTCTCTTATAGAGTACCTTACCTCACAATTGAAATGCTGTTTCATCTTGATTTCAAGAAAAAATAAATACTGTTGGTGGTAGGTATCACTCTGTAATGATATCGGATTAACAGAATTCCAACAAAGTTCTTGATCTTCAGAAAATTAAACTCTTCGAAGGCCAAACAAAACAGTTTTTTATTCCCTGCATATAAACATGAAACTTCTAGCACTAGCTTTCAGCAATGAACTTTCTGCAGAGAGTCAAGATTGTTCTGGTCTTACTCTGCTGCAAGATCTAAAATAACTTTTTGTTCTGGGAAAGTTAAGAGAAAGTGAAGCCAAGAATCAAACCTTTCATTTTTAGGTTGTACAAAGTGATCTATGGTAGGAAATTACGAGAGCTATACTCTACGTTTGATTGTGAGATGTAAGTGGGATGCAGGATCAAAAGTCAATTTTCAGCTCGGTGAATGTGGAATGGCACGCAGAGGCAGTTCCTGTTCTTACTTCTCAAAGTCAGGGACGTATCTTTTGCTGATATAAATTGACACAGTTCTATTCGCTATAATGGATCTGTACCAATTTATACCTATAGAGCACTGTCGAGTGGAGATGACTCATTATTTTTGTAATAGCTTGTCTACTTGAAGATTCTTTTATTTTTTCTTTGCTGCAACAGAAATGAGATACTCAGGTCTGCATGTATCAAAAATCTGGCAGTAAATCTGAAGCTTCATGAGTGTCACACACCTGTTTCTAGCAAAAGAGAATGCAGTAAGCATTGTTTCTTATCCAGCTCACCAAGATTGTTTCATACTACTTCTGTACTGTGATCAATTAACAGTTCATTGCCAGACAACCCAGCTAAGCCTGAGGGATAATGATTATTGCTGCAATGCGGGTTGGGATTATTTCTGATAAGTATGAGTCTATATGTGAATACGCATGTTTCAGGGATTCCGAAGTGTAGTCGTGTCATTTGTTCACACCACGGGGAGGGAGGGAGGCTGTATTATAGAATAGGCTGAAAAAGAAAAGGCTGTATTATAAGAATTAAATCTTAAACCATCCACATTTAAAGATTGTTTAGATAACAGTGAAGGGTAAGATACCATAGTCTTTTTATAGGTAAAAACAATAGCCTTTTTTATCTGCTGCTTATTTCATATAATTAGTTTACCTGTTTTTTCAGAAACAAAATATCAAATACTGCAGTTTTGGGTCTTATTCTCTCACCAAAACAAAATCAGTCCAAACATCTGCTTCATCAAGAAAAAGAAGTAATAGAAAGATAAGATAACAGAAATATCTACCCTGTATTTTGCTGTTGTAAAGCCTGAAACCCATTTAAGAAGCTCCTGCAGAGCTAGTGGCGGGAGTTCCAATTCCCACGTTCCACTTGAGATGAGTTCCAAGGTCTAATTTCCTTCAAAAGTTTTTGATGGAATTGGCAGGTTTGTGAGGACCACTTCGTATTTCATTACATCACCATTTTACAGAAGAGAACTTTACCCCTGCAAACGTTTGACTAACTCCGCTTGGAAGCGTTCATTTGTCCTTTACCTGTATGAATTGTAAATTCTTTTTTCCCATGCCTGTCTATGACCTGACATGGCACATATTTTTGGCAAATAATATACATAGCAACTCCAAGTTTATGAGTTTGCTAATGGATATTTAAAACCTGCTTAAATCCGATATTTTGTATAAACAGAATAGCATAAACACAAGGGTGAAGCCAGACTCTTAAGGGTTGTTGCTGTCAGTGTAAATAACCAGTTGATTTCTGTAAGAATTATATTAAAGGCCATAGGATAGGTCACGTAGTTGCATGTACAAAAAAGTTAGCATTTAATGACATTTGTTAATTTTTGGGTTCTTATGATCTACTTGATGTTAACATCTAGTGAGCTATGTAAAGAGTAATAATTGCACTGTGAAAAATATTGCTAAAAAGTAATTAAACTGAGAAAAAAAATAGAGTTAAAACCATGATTTCTATCTCAAGTAGTCTCTCAATAAAGTTGATATCTGTAATTCATAGGCTTGTAATGACTAGATTATGGGAAAGTAATTCTGATAGTGGGACATGTATTGCATTTTTTTTTTTACTGTTTTCAGTTTGTACCACTTCCTCTCTGTGTAATTTTGTGGGTTGTAAGATTTGCTTCTTTAATTTTCTTTATTCCTTCATAGAAAAAACAGGAGATTAAATGTTTCAACAGCTCTCAGAAAAGTGAGGTTGTAAAACTGAAATATTTGAGAGAGAAACTCAAGAACAGGCATGATATTTCAACTTACTTTAATGTCATATACATAAGTACAGCAGTAGAAGCTGGGGGTGAACAGAGAAAACTTTGCTGGAACTAATGGTCCCAGTGACTGTGTTAACATACCGGCTCACAGGAATATGGATTGTCCTGCCGATAGAGATGGTCGGCTGGGCATGACACAGTACATATTTTATGTTTACAGTAACTTAAAGTTAACAGGTCTTTCAGTGATGGGTATACTAAAATTAATTCATAGTATTTATGATTCTCAGCAGACAGGAAATTATGGTAAGTAATTTCATTTTTATTTTCGTGTACTGTTTTGTTGAAAAAAAATGGCTGTTACATGGCAAAATTAAGGGGTCTTCTTCACAGACTGCTTGCTTCTGTGAGTGTAAAGAATATGCAGGTGTTTTGAAGATGAACAGGAATAGTGTTTGGTATCTAGGACATTTATCTAGCAATGATCTAGACAAAGAACATCATTTTTAGAAGGAGTACCAGAGGGATTCTGAATAGCATTTAGATGCTGCTCTGCCAGTTGCATTATATGTACGTAGGTAGTCCTTATTCACCAGTAACCATGGAGCTCCATGGCTCTGCTACAGCTTACAGTCATTGTGAGAACTCCTTCATGAGGGGACTCTGGAGTCTCTCTGGAAAATTCTACATACCAGATAAGTAATTTACATTAAAAAGTTTATATTTAAATTCTGTTATATCATTAACAAACCTGTGCTGTTTGGCCCTTTCATCGCTGGCAAGCCTTTCTGCTTTGAGGGTGGTGAGGCCCTGGCACAGGTTGCCCAGAGAAGCTGTGGCTGCCCCCTCCTTGGCAGTGTTCAAGGCCAGGTTGGATGGGGCTTTGGGCACCCTGGTCCGGTGGAAGGTGTCCCTGCCCGTGGCAGGGGGCTTGGAACTGGATGGTCTATAAGGTCCCTTCCAACCCAAACCTCTCTATGATTCTAGGCTTGTGTCAGTTCTGATTTTGTGTGTGAGTCACTTCAAGGTGATGGTGGAGTTTCTCCAGGTTTGGGAATTCTGGCACGGATTTGCTTCTTGAACTTGTTCCAGTGCCCAGTTACTTCGGATGCCTGAGGTTCATCTTCCAGTGTTTCAGTTCTCATATCACACTTGCAGCGACACTGAAGAAACAAACCATCAGCCTTCTCCTTGGAATGGTAAAAACCTAACAGCAGCACTAAAGCACCAGCATCTCAGTCACTTTGTGCACTTATTCTTCACGTTCAATGCTTGGCTATTCTGCGAGTTGCAAATTATTTCTTGGAAATTGCTCAGTCTTTTCCAGTAGACCAACTTCTGTTACTTAGGTCAAGCTTTCTGAATTCACATGACAAACCCAGTGTTAAGGTATTGAATCTTACATTGGAAATGCTGGGTACTTTTACCTTCTATTTGATTTCAGAATGTCTAGCACTAATTAGGAAAATTCACTTTGTTAATTACCATAAATATTTACCATGTTTTTAAAGCTGCCCAAGTTTAATTTATTTCATTTTCTACAAACACTTCACTTGAAACTTCTCTGATTTTGAATGCTATTCCGGTCAGAGAAATGGCAATTTTATCACTAAATATATAGGAAACAAACCTTGCTTTCAGGTAAGCTTTTGCTGGCTTTTGGAATGCAAAGAGAGAATAACATTTTCTGTGCTATTTTTTGTAATCATGAAAAGAGAGGTGTTTATGTAAAGTATGCTGGATTTTCAGGAGGACAGAATTAAATTTGCCAGTAAATTTCACATAAATATCAAAGTCCTGTGAGGTTCGAATCTCGTATACAACATCGATATAACAGAAAACTGGTGAACTGCAGTGTTATCTCTAACATTGTTGTTCTTGGTGTTTCTAGAACCACCCCCTATCCCGTCACTGTGCATGACCCCTATGGACAGAGGACTTTGTAGAGCCAAAGAGTTAAGATTTTTCTACAACTACTCAACTGGAAGATGCCGCCCATTTAGCTACAGTGGTTGTGGTGGGAATGAAAATAATTTCACCTCCAGGAAGTCATGTCTGAGGATCTGCAAAAAAGGTATGGGAAGTGATACTGCCACAGACTATCATAAGCGGTAAATATTACGCAGGCTGAAACTTTCTTGCAACTTTTGGTAGTCAGTACTGGCCTGATAAAATGTAGTAGCTGAAAGTCTTAGCAAAGTGAAAACGGAAATCAGAAGAGAGGCAGACCTAGAGAGATAAAGATGGACAGCAAAATACAGTGTACAGGAACAAAAGTAAGACAGCTTGGCACTGGTCAGGCATATGAAGACTTTAGGTAAGACAATGTGCTTTTTTCTTTTTTTAAGAATATTTCTTGAAGACAAGATTTGTCTTTCATTTCTGATAATCTTGGATGTGTTAGTCATATGGCATCTAATCTTACTTTCTTTGTTTTACCTTTAGGATTCAGTAAAAAAAAAGGGCAAAGAAGAGTAATAAAAATCAAGAAGAAAAGAAAGAAACAGTCAGTAAAGGCGCTGGGCGAGGAAATCATCCCTGAAAGAACACAACTTTGATTTTTATGGAAATGTGAAGTATTATTCGCCTGTGAATGAAAACCTTTAGTGTACACCCTTTAAATGTATTTACTGTACTGATTATTTTGATTACATGTTATTAAGCTGCTTACAGTTTTATTATGTACTGCTCATTCATGTTAATAAATGTTACCTTTTACTTTGATAAAGGCTCTTAAATTGTAGTTTGTTTGTATATAATTGTCAGAGCTGAAACAGGACAGAACAGACTGTGTGGGTGTATAACTGACTGATTAAAAAGTAGACAAGATTCAAATTTACTTTATTACCCCATTATTCTTTTTTGAAGTTGTTTTTGTGCTAAAGAAAGCATTATTCTTGTCAAAGAGTAATCACTTGTCAAACATGATTGTTTCAATCATAGATGAAAAGATAGGTCTATTGCTATAAAGAGGAAATAGACATTGGGTTTGGTTTAATCAGATTTATTTTGGGTTATGCAAGCTAAATTTAACTCCATCAAGGTGTATATAATTACACTATTGTAAAATGAATGTGTGATTAGAATTAACCCACCAAAACCCATGGAGTGTTTAAATTGTAAATGTGTGAAGCAATGTGATAGATATTTACTAAGATTTAAAAATATATTTGCTGGGATCATTGATTATCCTTGTTACTGAGCTAGACTCCTGGCTAGCAAGTAGATAATTTCCAGAAATACGTATTAAATTTTTACAAAAACCAGAACAAATTCCTGTCATGGAAATAAATACAGTTGCTTTAGATATCACTATGCCTACTCTCCAGTTGACTTGGAGGGGGGGAGGTTTGGGTTTGTTTTTTTTTTGTGCTGTGTTGTTTTTTTGTGTTTTTTTTTTTTTTTTTTTTTTAAAGACTGACATGAAATGGTGTTACAGTTCCTGCCCTTCTCCAAGGCACCTCTCTGATCTGGGGTAAGTCTTTTATAATGAGATTTTTTTAACGGAAATAAAAAAAAGTAGTAGTTGTTTTCAAATTAAGTTGTTTAGAAGCACCTTGCTGCCTATGAAAGAAAAGTCTTGTCGTATAAAATGTATAAGCACCACAGACTGACAATGCAATAGCTATGTAAATCAGACGAGTGCATTTCTGACAGGAAACCTATAAACTCCATAGACTGCTGAAAACAGCACAAGTTGCTTGAGGCGCACTAGGTGGGGGAGAGGCAGGGCTTACCAGTGGGCTGAACACCCCCCTAGGTGCCACAGCTACCTTGCTTCTACACAGACACGGGCTTGTGTCTGCATGGGGAGGAATGCAAGTGAGTGCACAAACATCTTCACCTTTCCTTGTATAATTTTTATGATGAAGGCAGTAAAAATATCTGATTTTCCTTTCTTAGTTATTATAATTTCCTGTGGGCTGCCAGTAATAAAACTTACCTAACTGCTAGATCGTGTGATGTGCTGTGGAGTGGAGACAGAGCTGAGGTATGTGCAACTTGGCTTCTCCCACAGCTCGGTGATTCAGTGAGGGCATTCTGAGCCTGTGGTTTCAGATTAAAGCAAAAACGAAAATGTCAAGTGCTGGGTAAGTAATACACTTGGAACAGCTGTCTTCTGTCACTGATGTCTGACAGCCAGGCAGACATCATCCTATACCCCATGTTAAAATTCTTTTACAAAGACACATTCTATTCCCTAGTGTGATTCTGAGGTATATGACCATGATTCACATGAAAATAAAACATCTTCTAGAGCTTTCATGTAAAAGAGAATGAAACTCACTCTTAAGCAGCAGGAGTGCAACATTCGGGTAGGTCCGGTGTTTATATGAATCTGTGTTACCGGCCGCAGTGTTTCTTTAAGGAGACTTGTTCCTCAGCATCACGCCCCAAAAAAGGTGATGAGAACAGAGCTGTTCCTGCGGCAGTGTCCTCTGCCTGGCTGTGACTGCGGCTCTAAACCTGGCGGTGTTTTCAGTTGTGATGGGTCTCTGAGCAGAGCCTTGCAGAGGTTGGGACGAAGTGGAAGGGGTTTGCCCGAGGTGTTTCTTACAGCAGTCCCACCAAGAACACTAATAAGAATTTGTGAACTCTGTAGATTTTATTAGGTTATAAACTGGAATGATGAACTTTCTAAAACAGAATGTTCTGAATGAGATAATAGATATAAAAGATAAGATAGGAAAGAATAGATGCATTTGTTTGTACGTGGATTGGCTTGTCAGATCCCTGTGCCATTTCATGGCAGCATCTCTCCTTCAGGCTCCTCCTTCGCTCAGTGACTTGTCCCTGGCTGCCTGGATTCAACACCTCCAAAGTCCACCCTGGATATCTAGGAAAACCCGTCCTTTCCGTCCCTGCAGAAACCCCCTCTAAGTCTGCTGCTTGCTGAGCTCTCCTGCAGACTAACAGGGTCTCCTCGCTGAGCATACGCAGTTGCTCCCCAGGACTGTGCAGTCTTCTCTTCTTCCAGAATGACCGTAGCTAGGAGAGGACTAAGAGGTACTGCCCCATACTCTCTCTCCCCCTGCTTACACTATGCTAAAGAAACTTCTTGTGCGTTCTTTTCATAGTAACAGTGACCGAGCAAGCGATCCCTGGGTGGATCTGTCATGTCGTTGTTGAGACAGAAAAAGACTTTATCGTTACAGCATCTCAGCAGTACCTCTATTTCAGTTGACTAAGGAAACGTTATAAAGTGATTCATCTTCTGGGCGCGTGACTTGGTGCAGTGGGAATGAAGCCTGGGATGTTGTAGACTGTATAAAAGCTGATCTGATTATAATCAGAGATTTGATCTGAGAGCTTACGCTCTGCTTGGTGTGTGGACAAGGTTTGGCCACCATACCACAGAATCACAGAATAGTAGGGGTTGGAAGGGACCTCTGTGGGTCATCTAGTCCAACCCTCC